GTCTATATTAAAGAACATTAGAATGAGAAAGAACAAAAAAAAAAAAAAAATGATGAGAAAGAAAAAAAAAAAACTTGGTCAAAAGTTCACACTAGAGAATGGAAGAAAGAATATGTGTATGTATTGAAGAATAACGTATTCAACAAGAGATATTTTATTCAAAAGAAATTGTTGTATAATCTTGTAGTTGAATATACCTCAAGTAAATAAAAAAAAATCTACATCAATAATCTGTGATTTTGAATCACATGGGTAATTCGATTACGCTTCAAGTAATTTATTTTATGTTCAATAACGTTCGTGAGAAACAGCTGGCACAAGGATACCATTTGGTACATTGCAAAACTATAGCAATAATATGTAGTCATTATACTTATGTCATATTTTTATCTCCAAGTCGATTTTATTTAAAGACGAGACATAACCAAGCGAGATAACAAACGATTTGTAGTATTACTCAATGAAATTTAAGAGAAGAAGTAGACTAAAGTCTTATACATCTATAAAGAAAGATTATATTACTATTGAATAATAATATTCAATGTCATTTCTTATACAACTACAATCAAAAGAAAATACCTTTGAAAAGAATATAATGAAGATGTAAGATGTTTGACGATAAATCTCTGTCTTATTGCTTAAAGAAACAGAAGAATTATTTTATTACATAATATGAATATTAACTATTCAAATCGGAAGTGAGTTTTTTTTTTTCTTATCATAAAGCAAAATGTCAAATATAAGTTCTGGCAAAAAATGATGTCTTGTATTAATAATTGATAATTCAATAAAAAAAAAGACTTTGTTAAAATAATAATTACATAATTAAAAATAAAACTTAACATAACTCCAACATCAATCATTTATTAATAGTAAAATTTTAAATATGTTAAATTTTTCAAAGTCTACAAATAATAACCTAATAGAACTTTGATTGTATAAATGTCTTATGTAAGTATACATAATTTCTTTTTTTTTTTATATATGTTTTAATATTCCAATTATTGATATACATGGTAACACAATTTAATTAATAACAACAAAATGCAAAAATAATCAATAGAATTAAATGTAGCATTTTAAATAGTACCTCTTATATAACTTCTTTCACATTATAATTATATGAGAATTCAATGGGTATGTATAGTCTCTTTTATTCTAAAGGAAAAGTAGTAAAATGAAATGCTGTATAGTACAAAACGATATATAAGTCTGCACAAAAAAAAAATTGTAGGTTGATATGTACTAGTAAAAAATATTTTCTCGACCTATTTCTACGATCGATTATAAATATATTTAAAATAGTTTTATTTTTCATTATTTCTTAGAAATATAAATATATAATTTATTAATGTCCATAGAAAAAAAAAAAAGTAATTATTTTGTAGAAAATATATATATGATAAAGCGATAATTTTAAACCTTTTTGTTTCTTTTCTATATTCTTTATCAAATAGAATGTTTTTCAAATTTAACATAAATAGCATCAGGTTGTATAACAATTTTTTCTTGTCGTTTAAATCCTTGTTCAATATTATCACCAGGTAATATTCGATATTGTCGAAGTAATTGAATTAAACACATTTTTAATTCCATTAATGCAAATTTCATACCAATACAATGTCTTGGACCAACACCAAATGGCATCCAAGCAATAGGATGACGTTTTATTTCATGTCTTTCTGGTATAAAAAGATTTGGATCTTCAGGACCCCATAAATTTGGATTATAATGAATACTAAATATATCAGGTTGAATAATACTATCTAAAACAATAAAAAAAAAAACATTAATAGATTAATAAGAACTTTTCTACTTAAATAAACCTTTTTCAATAATATAACCAGATATATTTGTAGTTTGATTACATTTTCTTATTTGTCCTTTACTTGTTATAGGATACATTCGAAGAACTTCACGTACAAATAAATCAAGAGAACGAAGATTTGTAGCTATATCATAAATATCTTCATTATTATAATTATTCCATTTAATTTCATGAATTTCTTTTATAAGTTTATCTTGAATATCTAATTTTGTTGCTAAAATATACGTACAATATGCAAGTGCTGTTGATGTTGTTTCATATCCAGCAATCATAAAAAGAAATACATTACTGACAACTTCATCTGAATGTAATGTTTTTGACATGAATTGTTCATCGCTATGGTCCTATATTAATATAATATATTTCAATATATATAAATATCATTTTATTTTTTATTTTTATTTTTATACTAGTGGAATTAATACTAATGATGCTAAGTTTAATTATGTTGCATATTCTAGCATAAACATGCAAAACATATTTTAATTAGTTCGTAATAATTGTTAGATATAAATTAATAATCTTACTTTTACATGATCATATGTTGAAGCATCAATCATAAGTTGTAATAAATCTACACGTTTTATTGTATTTGTTGTTAATGATTTATTTCGACAATTCACAACATCTTTAACACGATTTGTTAACCATGAACCAGGTGATTCTTCAATATAATTACTTAATACTGGAATTAATTTTATTAATATTCTACGAAGAGCAATTTGACCAAGATAAAAATAACGAAAAGGTGTTATGAAAAATGGTAGTAAATTAGTTAATTTAACAATAGTTAATTTATCAACATCTACATCAAATGTTCCACCTGATTTTTGTAGATATATGTTATCAACATCATTTTGCATATCAGTATCAATACCAAATGCACAACGACCTAAACATAATTGAATATTAATATATGTGTATAAGATTGATCTACTTACAAATAACATCCATTGTCATTCGTTTATATAATTGATAAATATTAATTTCTGTATTTTTATCATTAATTATATCAGATAATTTATTAAGCATTGCTTCAATACATTGATTCACTAAGGGCATCATAAGTTTAAGTTTTCCACATGAAAATGTTGGATTAATTACATATCGTTGACGACGCCATCTTAGTCCAGTTGCTCCAAATAAATGAACTTTATTGCCTGTTTGAAGTTGTAATATAATTGGAAGATGACGTGAATGAAATGATGAAAATTGTTTGATATAAACTTCTTGAAGAAAATCAACATCTGAAACAATATACATTGGTGTTGTACCTGCAAATAATCCATAAATAGAACCATATTGACGAGTCCATTCTTGGAATTGTCTTGAAATTGATTTGACTGGCCAAAGATCTTTATAATGACCAAAAAAGAACCGATATGGCGGTCCTGGAATACCTTGACGTTGAAAATAATCATAAGAATTTCCAACGTTCCATAAATATGCAATAATTAAACAGAAAATACAGGTCAACAGAGAAATAGTGATTATCATCTTACGATAATAGAAGGTAAATGTATGTTCGCTGTTTTCTTTATGCAGATAAAATAATTGCGTTTGAAATAATTTTTATCTTATATAGGACAAGTAATGCACTTGGTTGCCCCCTGAAAATATTGTTCTCTATAAAATGTGCGTATACTCATAGCTCAAGGTACCGAATGCCGATGAGTCATTGATAACACTTAAGTGCAATGACGTACAAAGTGAATATACACGATTTGCTCCCGCTATTATATTGCCATCTCTTTTTTCTAATACGTATCTTAAATATTCTAATTTATTTCTACCATACATACATAAGATGAATAAAAATAAAATGTCAAACATTTTTCTGTTTTAAAATTGGATGAAATTTTCTAGAAATTCGAGCAGATCAGTAAAATCAATATTTTCGAATGAGAATTTATTTCGTATAATATTCTTAAGATTGATCAATAAAAAAAAAAAGTAACTTTTTGTTAATAAGAAATAAAAGAAAAAAAAAGAGAAAATCTGGACCGCAACGGTAAGTTTTTTTTTACTATGTTAACTTTAAAATAATACAATAAAACAAATGACGATGAGACTAGTTTACTATTATCATAGTAATTTGATGCAAATCATTAAATAATATAAGATAAATTCATATTTATATTTTTTCTATATTCTACTATCAATTTTTGAACTTCTCATTATCATATCATGATATTAGATTTATTCATTTACACATTAATAATAAAAAAATCGAATATTTATCACAGTGAACAAAATGAACATATTATTCTTCATAATTCATATACATCATTGCAAAAAACAATGAAATCTATTTTAGATTTATCATTTTTCAAGTTTAACAAAAAAATAGCATCAGATCGAATAACACAAGTCTGCAGAAGTGCAGAATGTACCCGTGTACGGTAACACACGGTGGGAGAAATATTTGACAATTTTTTGAGTCTAGGAACTTATAAAAAAATAACTTTTTTCCCATGCGAAAAAATCACAAACTGTAATCTCTCCACCTACGAGCTTTCTGCCTTTGTATTATTAGCTATCTCTTTCTCCATGCTGCGTTTTTTCTCTTTCTCTCAGTTCCATACGTTCTATTTTGTTGCTCCACGCACGTGAGTATATGTGGGTGGTATGTGTATGAGATAAATCTCGCTCTCTGTTGTTCTGGTATGATGTTTCATTCGTTGTTTTGTTTGAATTTTGATGATGTATTGGTGAGAAAGTAATTACACGAGGTTGCTACTTTGTGATATAAAAAAATTTGGATCTTTAAGACTCCATAAGTCTGAACTGTAATGAATACTAAACATATGAGGTTGAATAGTACATAAAAGAAAAAGGATCAATAGATTAATAATAACTGTTCTATTTAAAAAACCTTTTTCGACAATGTAACCAGATATGTTTGTAAGTTGACTATATTCTCTTATGTACTCTTTACTTGTTATAGGATATGCTCGACGAACTTAATGTACAAATAAATCAATATAAGAAAAATTTGTAGCTAATATTTCATGAGTATTATCATCGTTATTAACCCATTTAGTTTGATAAATTTCTTTAATAAATGTATCTTAAATATTCGATTTTATTGCGAAAATATACGTACAATTAGCATGTACAGTTGATGTTATTTCATAAGAAATACATTGCTAACAACTTCATCTGAATATGTAATAATGTTTTTGACATGAATTCATTCATCAGTATGATCTTAAAAGAATAAAGTTAATAAAAATACATAAACATAGTAACTCATATTTAACTAGTCACAAGTCAATTTCATGAAGCATAAATTGCAAAAAAAAAATCCGCACATTTTATTTAAGATAATGTAAATTTTATTCGGCAATTAACAAGCACTAGAATTTCGTCCAGTAAATTTTTTTGTAAGCAAAAATTGAATATAATCACATGTTGCTAGTTTAGATTATGCTAACATCCTGAGAGAATTTGTTATTAAATTAAAAAATAAATCTTTAAGTAGACTTTTAGCAAATGATAATCAAATAAACCGAAGGTAATTTCTTTGTAATCATATACATATGAATTATTCATATCATTATGTATATTAGTATCAATATTTAATGGTCATCGAGTTAGACATAATCAAATGAAGTCATCTATAGCAGTTTTTTTTTGATAAGACTCGTCTAGTTATAGATTATATCTATTATATTATATTTCACTAGAGACGGTATTTATTTGATTTTTTGCAGATGAAAATAGGATAATAATCATTTGTCTTTAATAACATGATTTTGTTCTATTTTCTCTATTTAAATATTTTATTTATCATGATTTAGTTCACGAAAAAGAGGTGAAGTCGAATATAATTGAAATGATAAAATTTGTTTTTCATGTAAACTTCTTGAAGAATATCAACATATACTAACACTATATTTCTAGGATAATCTATAAATTGAACTATACTAATGGGTCAGTTTTGAGTATTATTCTATAAATTAAAAAGCCTTGTAATGATCAAAGAAGAAACGATGTCATGACCTTGAAATCCTATTACATTTTTAAGTACTCATAGGTGGCCTATTAACAATCAACCACTCAACATCGATAAGATAAGTAAATATCGCGGAAAATTTTGCATAGAAAGGTCGTATCTAAAAAAAAAACAAAAAAGTACATATTTATCATCTTACGATTAAACTGATTATATTGTGGATAATATGTATGCAAACTACCGAGTTTAATGCAAAAAAAAAAAACAAAACCATGTTTTGTAAGGTCCAGAGTAAAAAAACAATGTAACTGTTTTTTTTACCTAACACGTGGCAGATTCTATACTTTACAAACGATGTGTTTATGTATATCAAGTACAGAATAGACAGGGGCTATAAATGGATTTTCATGTTATTACTTTGTTTATTATGTCAAATGAATAGTATTCATTTTAATATCATGCATAAAAAATATTTTCGAGAATGTCATGTATTGAAAACAATCATTGAATCTAATTACCTTGATTTTTAATGATGTAAATCAAATATTATTATTATTTTTTCTTTTTTTGTCAAGGATGTAAATAGTGATTTCATCTAACACCTTGATTTTACTTAAAGACAAAAAAAACAAATATTTAGATATAATGTTAAAAATAATATATTTTAATGAAATATTGATCTGAAATTATTTCTAATTATACGAAATAATGAATAACAAAAAGACAAGGCAGATAAATATTTTTAATTTAAGAAAAATCACATTCTATTCTAAATATACTCTTCTTAGATATTGTTTAAAATTAATTGTTGATCTTCAATCGAAGAAAATATTATACATATAAAAATAAATATTTTGCCTTATTATATATAATGCTAACATTCTATCACCAATTCAATAAGCTTTATTAGAATAGTCATAAATCGAGAAAAGTAATATTTTATTAATTTTAATAGATTGTTGAATTAATGGAGTCATCGTTTAGAAAAGATAACTTTTCAAGATCGAATAATTATACTCGAATTTATGCTCTTGATAATAATGAAATCAATAAATTAATGTTAATAGGAAAAAAAAAGAAAATACATTTTTGTCGAAAAATTTTTTATAGTTAATAATCAAATTTAATGGAAAATTATCATGACTAAATTATGAATAATCAATATTCACTCGTAAATATGAAGTATATTTATTTTTGTTTTGATATGAAAATTGAATTGAAATTTAACATAAGTTAATTCTCTTTTAGTTTATTTTTAATTTAATTTGATATTAATATTTAGTGATATTTCGTATCTCGATAAGATATGTGATCCGACACTAAATTTAAGACAAATGATATGTAAATAAATTCACTAAGGGCAAATAAACAATTTTCTTTTTCTTTTCTTTTCTTTAATATTAGTCATTCTTTAATAGTAATACAGACAACAAGACTGTAATAGTAATGACTATATAAGGATTGAAGTCTTTTGCGTATTACTATCGAAGAATGACTAATATTAAAGCAAAGAAAAATAAAATTGTTTTTTTGCCCTTATTATACGTATTTAAATATCGTTTGTCCTAAATTTAATGTCTGATGAAGTATCTTATCGAAGTATGAAACCTCACTAATTTTTAATAAATTATTAATAATCAAATTAAATTGAAAATAAAATAAAAGAAGAGAATTAACTCATGTCAAATTTCGAAGTATAATTATAAATAAAAAGTAAAGTAAATTCTTGTTTGAGATTTTACAGTGAATCTATTTATGAGATGAATATCTCATTGATCTATACATACTTGTAATTGAATAGTTTTTGTTAATTATTATAATCTATATTGATAAAAAAAAACAATTTATATAAAGAATAGAAAAGGATGAAAAACAAACAAAAACAAATGTATTTACCAACGAATATCTATTTATATTTTATTAGTATAAATAAACTATTTCAAGATATACAATTCTCAAATTTGACAAATCTAACATCACATTAAATAGAATATTTTTTTTTCGTCTTTTGAATTCTTCTTTAATTTTGTTGAAAAATGATATTCGATTGATATCGAAGTAATTGAATCAAAATATATTTTAAATTTCTTGAAAGCAAATTTCAATCAAATATAATTTCTTAGTTTTTGATGTGTAACTGTATGTTGTTTTAATATAAAAAAAGATTTGAAACTTCAAATCTTCATAAATTAGAATTTTTATTATAAAAAGAACAACACTAGTTATTACTTTATCTCAATATAATAGTTTAGACAACAGTTGATTTTAATATACATTGATTCAAAGTATTTTTTTTTGAAATGATAATCTAAGAGGAGTGTTGAAGTATATAGAGTAGAAATTTACAACTCTCACAGATTATGTGTGACAGATGCTGGCCAGAGTCCATCGCAGATGTTGTTCATATACAATCAAGGACCGTATATCAATAATGATTCGCTACAATATATCAACTACCTTCTTATTATATTTCCGAAGGATTAAGTAAACTAAGGATGAAGAAATGTGTCACAAAATAGACTGAATAAAATAATCTCTC